CGGTACCCATCCTGGCTTGGAAAAGCCAGCTGAGAGAGATTGGGGCCATTGCTGGTGGGGGTTGCCAATGGCTCCCTTCAGGAGGGCAGGGTGCCAATGTTCTCTAAGGGGAAATTGTACCCTGTTATTCACAGAATCATTGGTTTGGAAGGGAACTCACCTGGTGCAACCCCCTGCACAAATGCAAAAATGCTCCTCCTAAACCATTTTTAACCAATGCCTATCCAACATCGTCTTGAAAATCTCCAATGAAGGAGATTCCACAACTTTCCTGGGCAATCTATTCCACACCTTACTATTCTGATAGGAACTTTTTCCTGATATCTAATCTAAATATACTTTGCTGTAATTTGAAGCCATTGCTTTGCATCCTACCCTCTGCAGCAAGGAAGAAAAGTTGTTCTCCCACTTTATGGCAGCAACCTTTGAGATATTTGAAGATTGCTATCACATCCCTACCTTACTCACTGCTAAACATGCCTAGTTCTCTCAGCCTTTCCTCACACAGCTTGCCTTTCAACCCCTTGATCATTTTTGTCACCTGCCCCTGGACCCTCTCTAACCTATCCATGTCTTTTTTTAAATGTGGAGCCCAGAACTGAACAAAACATTCTAGATGTATAGTGGCATTCAGCTTCCGTGTCTTACACCTAATACTCCAGTTCTCACTAGTTGAAGTTAGTGCCCAAACTGCATTTGATTTTTTAAAACTACACCACACTGCTGATTGTTGCCGAGTCATGATCCACCAAAATACCAACATCCTTGTCAGCAATGCTGCCATCCAGCTAGTTTCCTCCCATTCTGTATTTGTGCCTTTGATTATTCTTCCCAAATGTAGCACCTTGCAATTCACTTCACTGAACTTATCCTGTTGTCTCCAGCCCAGATTTCTAATTTCTCTAGAGCCTTCTGAATTCCATTCCTATCCTCCAATGTATTTGCAATCCTTCCCAGTTCTATGTTGTCTGAAAATTTGCTCAGAAGTTCTACTTCAGCATCAAAATTATTAATAAAAATGTTAAGCAACACTGGAGCCAAGACAACCCACTGTGGAACCCCACTCAAAACTTCTGCCATTTTGACATTTATCCATTTATGATGACCCTTGCCCATGGTGATTGAAACAATATCTATCAACATTTTAGTAATTTTATTTAGCCCACATTTATCCAATTTACTCACAAGAAAGTCATGTGGGACACACATCACCAGTGAGATTCAGCCTCCCCTCATCACTCATGTTTACAGCCTTGAGGTGATCCTGAAACCTTTACTGCATCTGGATTCTCAGGTTGCATCAGTGGTTAGTATGGATTGCCTTAGGATGGTCAAACCCACCCTGTGAACGTAATGGGGATGTGTTGAATATCCTGGAAGGAGTGGGAGATGTCCAAACATTAAATGGTTAGGACTGACTGTAAATATTCTCAGTCAAGGTACAACTTCCTGAGTAACTTGGGAGTTTACCAGACAGCCAAAGAATGTGGAAAATGGATTGAAATGGTAATGCACTGATATGCAAGAAAAATAAATAATATTTAGCTGTATGCATCAATATGTTGGCCTGTGATTGTGTGAGTCAAAAAATAATGTACAGATAAGGGTATATGTTTTCAGGAAAGCTTTGGATTTGTGTACCCTGGGATTTATCCCCTGTCAGTTGGACTGGTCGGCCACCTGACAGTAAAAAAAAAGATATTTGATTTCTATTTGTTTCCTTTTACTCATTTGTGAACCTGTAGCAGCGAGACTAGAAGAACTGTCCTTGGAAGCTGCAACAGTTAGGAACTCTTTTCACTAACTCCAACTAGTGAGAAGACTGTGAACATTTCTTTTAGATTCAGATGTTGCCACCATCATTCATGCTCTCCTAACGTTAAGGCTAGACTAGGGCAATGTGTTCTATGTCAGGCTGCCTTTGTGAACTGTCTGGATGCTGCAAGTGGTGCAGAATGTGGCAGATTACCTTCTAACTTTAGGGAGAGGAGGGAGACCCACACTAGGTGCACATTACTCCAGTATTCTAGTCTGCACTGGCTTCCAATAGCTTTCTGGGTATAATTCATGATGTTGGTTTTGACCTATAAGACCCTGAATAACTACAGGACTGCCTTCTCCATGTTCTTTTGTGATTCCTAAGGTCAGCTGAGAACAACCACTTAGAAACACCAACTGTGCAACAAGTTGACTTGGCTCCATAGTCATTCCTCAGCTCTGGAACTTCCTCCCCCTTGTGCTCCATCACAGCCCAAGTCTGGACATTTTCCAGAAGTACTGTAAGATTCTTTTATTTGAGAAGAACTTCAGCAAGAAGGTTTAAGTTTTGGAGTGTTGCCTAGGGTGTTTCTATTTTTAGAAATAAATGCAAATGTTTCTACATCTTTACCTTTCCAATAAAAAACAAGTTTTGGCCAGCCTTTAGTTACCTGCTCTACACTAGGAGGTAGCTCATCAGATGGAAACAACAGAGATGGAAAAGTAGCTGATGTACCTCGAGTGCACCAGGCTGCACTCGAGGCTGCAGCCCCTCCACCTCCATAACCTCTTTCTGAGGTTCTAGTTGAATATCACCCCCACCTTTTTGTTTTTGGTCACCCCATCCACAGCCCCACCAAGTCCCGGGACCTCCTGATCAACCTCCTCCTGGCCCTGGCCCTGGCCCTGGCCAAGTAGGCCCTGTACTTGACTAGGAAGGAGGCTCTAGCCGGGGAGGTGCCCGAAGACGGCAGGGCCGCTTTCCTCTCACTTATCCGTGCATGTTTCTGGGTGGAGCACCAGTGGGCAGCATCCACTGGCTCCTTGGATGCCTCTGAGGACCAGTGAGTGTGAAGTGGGGCAGGGGGCAGGGGGCGGGGGGCTCTGCTCAGTGTACCTCTCCAGAGAACTTCTTTTCATAATTTGAACCTTTGACCCCCCATGTCACTTTTACCCTTTTCTTCCTTAGTTGTCTCACCAAAAAAAATTTAAAAGGTATCAGTTGTACCTTTCAAACTTTGGCCCCACATGGCAGGGGGGCTATTATTAACTAGGGGGCTATTGTTAACTAGGTGGGCCTTAAGGCCCACGATCTCTCGAAGATGCAAATAAACAGGAGCTTCTGAGGCCTGGCCAGTTGGTATCTGGGGACACTAGCTCCTTGTGCCAGCTGAATTGCTGAAGCAGCCCTAAACTAGAGTAGCCTCTGCACCCTCTACCTACTGTAGCAGTCTGGCAGTGGGGGCTGCTGCCTGACTGTGACCTGCTGTCACCTGTGACAACATGCCGCTTCATGGCTGCACACATGCCAGACCTGGACAGGGACTGCACAGCCACCTGCACTGCAGCAGAGCCTCCTGTACTTTTGGGCCAGCTGCCAGTGAGCCATGCCTGCACAGGTGGCCTTTGGACAGCACTGCTGTCATGTCTTCTAGTGCCCCCTCGACAGCTCATCAAAACTTATTAAGCAGCCCTCCACCCAAAATAATTGCCTGCCCCCAATCTATAGATATAGATCGATAGATATATGTATGTATGGACATACATAATTTGGAAAGTAAATATATATGGGAAATGGGGAGAAGAACACTAGTAAGAAACCGGAAAAGGAAAGAATTAAATCTTAGTGACAAATTATCCCATAGGTGAATTACCAAGAGTTTATTGTTTATCTTTTGAGTAGTCATGGTTCTGCCCCTATTGCATCTGTGTCTGGTTGCAGGGTTCCACAAATCTTCAGATACATTTGCTGTTCTTGCTTACATTGCTTTCTGACATTCTGCCAGAATCAGTTATCCAAAATGAATGTTAAAATGACAGCTGTCTAGGCAAACAGGAGTGTCAGGAAGTACTTCAAAATGGAGAATACATTTCTTAAAAGTTCTTACACCTTTGATATATTTTCCAAGTTACAAAATACTGCAAATTAAATGGTATGAAAACAGCCTATTCTAAACAGACTAGTGTAATGCCCTCATCAATAAAGTACAAGTTAATTTACAAGCTCTTATAGCATGCTTATGTACAACTGTTTTAAATGTCATGGCAAGCATATAGTTGTAAAATTAAAATAAAATATCCTACAAACGTAAGAGGCTGCTTGCACTTGATATCAAAGAAAAGCAGTGTAATTCTAAATTGCTATTTTGTCAATATGAAAAACAGCTATTTTTTATAAATTCCACCATCAAGGGTAATTTCTCATTCCATTTCTACTGTCATGGAACAGGAGAACTTTAAAGATCTAGAAGCACTTTGTGTTTCTATTCAAAATAATCTGGTACATGGGACATCACTTCGACACCAACATTTTGAAGCTTTAAGTATGCATGGAATTATTTACTCAAGAGAACCTAAGTTAGGACAATTATATCATGTCAATATGTAGTACGCAACTGTCATGATGTAAATCATAAAAATAAGTATTATTTATATCTGAAGAATCAGTCTATAAATGTTGATAATGCAGGTCAAATATTTAACATTTTTAAAGCAAAAGGAAACCCTAACATGAGATACCTTTTGATCCAACCAGTATTTCTTCACTGTATTGTCATAACATCGTTCTCTATCAATTCAAACTTTGGAACTTATCAATGTATAAATCAATATTAATACATCAAAATTATATACTATTTATTCATAATGTTTTTAATATATTAAGAATATTAATGGTTCATTTAAAACAAAAGCCTTTAAACACAAATAAAAGGTTTATCCTTTTAATTCACCCCTGAATTAGGAATTTTTATGACAATTTTTAAACAATAATAGAGCTTCTTAGGATGAGAGAGAAAACCAGTATGTATAAAATACATCTCAGTGTTACTCAATTAAAATTTGTTCTTGCAGTAGTAATAGTAGTGTTATAACAATTTTTTTCAGAGCTTTCTGTATCAGGTAGTTTCCAATATACGCTTCAAGAGCCTCATGAATAAAACATGTAAAAGTTTTGTTAAATAAAAGATCATCAGGAACAGAATATGATTACAGAAGGAAAAAATAATATGAAAATAGCTTACCTCACACCATATGGATTTCACAAGATGGGAATTACATTTCTGTCTTATTAAGGCTTGAACTATTGTTAAACTTTCCATTGTACTCCTACAATGCTTCAAACCATTGTTGTTTCTCCTCTGTTCAACAAAATTCCAAGCAATAGCTCCTAAGTGCCCAGAGGGTAAAGTCCTAACAATTGCCCTTGTTCCAGTATACACTGATTTTTTAACTTCCTTATCATTTTTACAAAACCGTCTTATTAGTAAGGTAGAACGCTCCTTTTTATTTCTAAAGAAATCTTCCTCCAACTCTTCATCACAGTCATCACTACAATCTTCAAAATGACTCAGAAAAGGCTTTGAGAGCATTCTTCCAGTAAAGTTATTTCCACAGAAACTGTGATCTGAACTTGCCACTTTAACTTTTCGTGCTCTTCCTAAACATAAATACTTATCTTTTAAAGGGTCAAAGTTACCACAAAGCATTTGTCCATTTTTATATTTAGAATTACTTGCCAATTCCATTAACTTACAAGTGCAACTTGCAGAATCACTCATGTGATCTTTGCCAAGATCTACTGGCTGTAAATGGTCATCCAAAATGAAGCTGTTGTGCAATGCACACAGAGCTCTTGATATATTTCTTTCATTAGCATAGTGAAAGTGGAAAACTGCTACATTATCAGCATCATCTGTGTCACTTTTATTTACTATTGACTGGTTTCTTAATGACTTCATCTCTACTGAAGGTCCATCCATTTTCAACTGAATTTCAGCAAACATAGTTCTTTCCATTGAAGTAGAAATTCCAGTTTCCAAGCACATGCCTTCCCCTACTAAAGAATCACATGATTTATATAACTGGTTACATGGAATACTGTTCTTGCTGCTTTTCTCTATAATGTTACAGTTAATATTAAGAAACTCCACTGAACCTGGAATGCATGCATTTCTCTCCCATAAGTTTTCATTGCTTCTGTTATCATTCATTTTTTCATTTGCCAAAGAAAAAATTTTGGGCAGTGAGCCCCGAAGATTTTCTTCTTCAAGTCTGTGTAAGTACGAGAGACTGTGTGTAGTCTGCCTTCCTTGACTAGCAATATGTCTTTTTATAACATTGGTGTCCAAAGCATTTTCACTATTTTCATCTCCAGCTGACTGATCAGATATCACTTTACCCTGTGCCACAGACACAAGCACAGAAGCTGCCTTTTCCTCAGAGGTCATCTTGACACACAGGCTTTAGAGACTGTTCTGTTTTTCTTCACTGATCTTCATGATTTCAGTGTAGAAAGTCAGTGCTGAATGAAAACAAACACATTTAAAAAAATCCTTTTTTCTTAACAATACAAAGCATGTATGTTATTAACAGGCTATAAAGTTTTCCTGCCTGTAGATTACTGGCATGAAATTTAGATGTTCTTAAAGCAGTTTTGTAGTGCAATACAGACATTCAAAATGTGCTTCCTACAGTTAACATCTCTGTCATATGCAGGGTATATCTTGTTGCCACTTTGTAGACAGAGACCATGTTTGAAATGATAATCCATCCCAAAGATGCATCTCACCACATAAGATCCAAGAGGTTATTTCTCTGCAGAAAAACAAACAAAAAAAATCCATTAAAGAGAATTCATAGCATGCAATTTATGGAGACCACAGAAGATAAAGTGTAGTCAGATTAAAATCTAATGACCTGATGACCCCAAGTTAAAAATAGTTTTAGTAGAGAAGTATAAGAAAGCTATGTGAACAGGGAAAATAACTAAACTAGTGAAATATACAAAATATACATGCAATCAAAAAGAAAAGAGGAAATCCTTTTTTATATATTTAAATATATAATTGTTCTTGGGTTTTCTTACTTATAACCAGGACAGAATGACATATTTTGGGATAGAAAGGTCAGGTTTAAACTGATGTTCCCATTTTAAAAGTAAATAGGATAATTTTTGTTTTCAGAATAAAATCTAGCATGATTACAGTTTTATATTTTGCTTTCAGATGCTCCTGTGATGTTAGGTCATGTGTAATCGTGAAGAAGGTACATAGCACCTTCATCAATCTAAAGAGACAAACAAGACTGCGCAGTTAGGTTAAATGCCTTTCAACCTTACCATTATTAGTTCATTACTTCATGAGAAATCACGAGAGAAGTGAGCCTTGACAGGAGATCTGAGTATATGTGATGGCTTTTTGGAAAAGCTCAGAAATTATGCCCTTTATGTAGAAAGACTGTCATGGAAAGGAATACAGAAAAAGCTATGCCAAGGTTGCTACCATGAGCGCAACAAAAGAGATAGAGAAGCAAAGAAGAGAAGAAAGACTAGATGTATCAGGGCAGATAACCATTTATGATTTCAAAATAAATTTTTAAAAAATAAGTTTTTATTTAAATTTGCCCTTTTATTAATTTTATTTTTAAAAATAAGCCTATTTTAAATTGAATTTGAAATCATGACAGCCAACAACAAAACATTCACTTAATATACTGTATTTACTCAAATCTAAGATGACCAGGAATTTAAGATGATCCCTCAATAATTAGATTCTATAAACAGAAAATGTATACATTTATTATAATTTTCCATATATAGAATGTAATCATTGCAGAGTCATCTTTAATTCATCCCCCCACCACTACAGGGGGGCAAGCAGTGGGGGAGCAGGTACTTGTGCCTGTCTCTGCCAGAGCTACCAGTCCCCCTATAGTCTTGTGCCTTCCCTCTCTACTCTCCCCTTTTCCTCCCCTCCTGCCTCTGCTCCCCTCTCAGCCTCTGCTCTCCCTCCCCCACCAGCCTCTGCTCTCCTCACTCCTGTGATCTCTGTTGGCAGGCTACTGTCTGCTACTGTTCTCTGTTGGGGCACAGAACACGGCTCTAGCCTAGCCCCTGTAGCAGTCATTCAAGCCGCACACTACTGCTATGGGGCTCGGTTGCGGCCAGACTCAGTGCCCCAGGCTACAACGTGGACAGAGCCTGCTGGCATGGAGCAAGGGTAAGGGTGAAGAATGAGAAGCAGGCAGGGGTGCAGAAGCTATATGGCGAGGGGGGATGCAGCATGAAGAGGCAGCAGATGTAGCGGGGCAGGCAGCTGCTGTGCTAAGGGCCCAGCCCTGGGTAGAGGCTGAGGTCCATGCTACGGTAGCTGCCTGCCCCTCCCACTGCCCCCATACTCAGTTCTAAGATGAGGGGCTTCTCCCCTGCCATGTTAAATGGGAGAAACAAACTTCATCTTAGAATCAAGTAAATATGGTTATCTATTAATTGCTTAAATTGAGTAAAAATTATATTCAAAATAGATATTTCTACTGCTATAGTTTTAAAGTCAGCCATCACACAGAACTGGATAGTCAGTCTAGAAAAGTAGAATCAGAGTTTCTTGAAATGATTACTTTGGCACAGCTGGGGGCCAGATGCTTGAGGGACAGTGCCCTGGGCTCCCCTTGCCACACAGGCGGTGCCAGAGGGCCCCCACCTCTACTGCCTGGGCTGTGCCAATAGCATGCAACCCCCCCACCAGATCAGCTGTACTGGAAATATATGACCCTGGCCCTTATGGTGCATGCTGTAGGCTGAGCAGGAGGTGCATAGGTCTAGTGGGCAAAATATCATATTGAAGAGTTATCAAAACAGAATTATTAAACAAAACCATGCACAGCAGATGATATGATGCATAAAAAGAGAATGGAAGGAACTTGGCAAACAGGACAGAAGAGGAGACACACTTAAAAAACTGTCAAAGAGATAGACATTAGGGCTGTGCAAACCTTCGGTCGCTGATTCAATTCGGTGGAGATTCGGCTGGATTCGGTGGCCAAATCTCCAAATCCGAATCAAATCAGGAGACCCTTTAATCTCTCTGAATCGAATTGGAACCTTCCAAATCAATTGAGAGAGATTCGGAAAGATTCTGAGATTCAGACATAGACACAGCTTTAAATGTTTCTTCTACATACCTCAAAGTACCAGGTAGTTCATCAATGCTGAGATGGTAGGGCAGATGGAGCATCCCACAGGAACAAGGGAGGGGTCCCTAGTGCACTCAGCAGCAGACCCAGAAGTGGCCCAGAAGCACTTCTAGGCCACTTCTGGGTCCACCAGGGAGCAGGCCAGGGCCCTCCCCGCCCGGCTCGGCAAGTAGTGCCTCCTGGGTCTGGGGGGCACCTGGGGTCCCCCTGCAGCTGATCGCTGAGCTGGAGGGATGCAGGGGGGCCCCCCGTGCACTCGGAGGCAGACCTGGAAGTGGACCGAAAACTTTCGGTCCGCTTCCAGGTTTCCCACTGAGCACATAGGGGGCCCCGCCACACTCCTGTGGGATGCTCCATCCACCCCACCATCACAGTGATCATAAGCCATGCCTGGTACCTTGAGGCATGTAGAAAAAACATTTAAAGCTGTTTTTATAGCTGAATCCCTGATTCTCCAGATCAGCATCGAATCTTCATATTCAGATTCAGCCAAATTGAATCAACAAATTGAATCACTGTCCCTGATTCGAGCTGAATCCAAATTGAATAAGGCCTGTTTCACACACACCTAATGGACATGTCCAGAAGATGCTATTCTAAGGAAGGATCAGAAATGCAGCTTGGATAGGTATACATGTACTAGATTTAAACTAACTAGGCCAGATGCTAGGATTGTAGCAGCAGTAGCAGAGTTTAGCACTTGTCTGAATATTTTTCTAGTGGATTTTGTAGTCTGTACGGAGTTTCATTCTTTCACAATTGCACTGCTAGTGTACCTAAACTTACTAGTTTAATGTTAACTATACAAACTAGTCACAGCAATAACAGTAACATAGGCCAGTGATTGTCAACTGGGGGTACATGTAACGCTAGGGGTACTTAAAAAGGTCCTTGGGGGTACGCAGACCTAATGTGGCTGATAAACGCCGCGTGCAGGAGGAGAGGCTTTGGGAGGGGCTGCAGCCAACCCAGAATTTGCTGTAGCCCCCCCCCAACCCTGTCTTCAAGTGCCACCACCGGTCACCCCAAGTGCAGCCCAGCCCAGCCCCCAGCCTGTCCTGACCTGCACATAGATACGGAGGCACACCCCGCCATGCCCTCCCAGGGTGCATGTAGCTGTGGGAGCTACACCCCATGCAGCTCAGTCCCACGCCCCACCCTGGCTCTGCAGCCCATGCCCCAGCCCCACTCCCTCTCCACCCCCACTGGGCCAGCCTGCCCCACCCCATGCGCAGATCAGAGGGCATATGCCCCAATACCCTCCTGGGGTACGTGCACCAGCAGGAGCCACCTCCTCCCCCTCATGCCTCCCAGATGAGTTGTGGTTCCATCCCGCACTCCACCCAATGGCGGCTGTGCAGCCCCAGCCCCATTCCCTCCCTCACTGCAGGGGCCTCAATATGCCCACCCACCTCCCCTTTAAAAACAAGGAAAAAATATAAAGGGCTGCAACTTTGAGAGAAAAGGGGTACACCTGTTAAAAAAGGTTGAAAACCCCTGGCACAGGCAATATACTGTAATCTATAGTGACTAAGGCAATATACAGTGATCTATATATCCAAAGCAGCGGAGTATAAGCCCTGATACTTATCAAGAAGAGGATGCTTGTTAGAAATCTTTACTTCTGAAAAAAAAAAGTCATCTTTCTAAATTACCAACAGCTTTATTGCTGGACATACCCTAATTAAATTGATATTTTAAAACTCCTGCTTACAATTAGCTTGCTCTTAAAATGCTGCCTATATGTTTATTTAGCTCAGGAATTTTTTAATATATTAAACCAACTTCATTACCATAAGGAAATTTTCACCAAGTGACATATTTAATTAAAGTAATTATTTTGGGCTAGAATGGTGATTCTCAGCCTTTTTAGACTCAAGGCATTCCTTGTTAGACTCAAGGCACCACTTGGAAAATGCCAGCTTTTAGTTTTCCCTCATTTTTTGACTATGGAAAAATAACACCGCTTTTTTTTTTTGCAAAGAACTCAGAAAGCCCACAACAGGACAGGATGCTTTTGACACTATGAATCCCATCTGAAATCTCTGGGTTTATCTTATGAATCATGTTTGTACACCTAACAATGCTAACATTGCGTGGCACTCCATGGCAACCTTGAAAAGATCTCAGGGCACCCCAATGTGCTACATCATCCTGGTTGAGAATCACTGGGCTAGATCCTCTCTGTCAATTTAAGCTATGGAGAAATATGCAAACAATGTTGAAATTATTTCCTTTCATTTTCTTCTGTTAAAAACACACTCAAAACATTATGATTTGCAAATAATTTACAATATAAAACTGCATGGAACACTTTATAAAAGTCTTCACTGAAGTTATAGTCAACACATACTTGCATTTTCTAAAGCTACTAAATATCCTAATGAAATCCAATAGTAACTACATTTTATGAAACTAAATTAGATCGGAAATGTAATATTCTCTTTCTATCAGTACAGGAAAGTAAACAAGTGGTGAACTAGATCCAGCATTGATGAATCACCCTGGATACAAAAGTTGGCCAAGAAAGACAAATATATAATGAAAACAAACAGTTGGAAATCATTCAGCACTTGTATTCACAAAATATTTTAAGTCAGAAGCATAGGACAATGAAACCAATA